TTTTTGGTAAAAGGGATCGAACTTGGGCTCTTGTGCTAGGGTGGCAGGTGGTGGTTACATTCTTTTAATACACTTGAAATAATAATTTTAAAAAGCTTGATACAAAAATTCATGAACTCAGCTTCAATGTGGTATAAAGTTATAAATAATAAATGTAATATAAGCAGAGAATTTTTATCTAAACTGAATTTTCATGACAGTAATCTAACAGTTAAAAGGACAATTCATTTCAAGAAATACTGACTTTATCAGTAAGTGTTGTTTCTATCATCCATAGGATAATGCAGACATCAAAGGAAGTCGCAGGGTAATGTAACGAGACCAGGTAATTGAACAAAGTCAAAAGGCACAAATCCTTACCCACAGTTAGCAATTTATAAATTACTTAACCAATCTCAGTGTATCTTTCTCTGTAACACAGGGATAACAATATAGCCTGCTTCTAAGAATTTCAGAGAAAACAAAAGGTAAAGTGCTTAGAATTTTTCCAGCACAGGATAATGATGCCCTAAATATATTAGATAACTAAGCCCTAAAAATTAGCAAACCAATAAAAATGTTTGCTAAGACATCATTGAGCAAGAAACTCACACAGAGTGCTTGTGCAACATTTCCAGGATTACAGTACTTGGATGAACTTGAAAATACATTACTTCATCTTGTTTGTACATACTTTAAAAATATTTAATAGATAATACTGAGATTTTTATTTTCCATGTTGAAGGGCTGGAAACATCCTCTCCAAGAAAATATTTAGACTTACACACAAGGAAGAATGGCCAAAAGTCTACAAACTACTCTCCTTACGGTTACTGAGGTCTATCTTTATTCATTTAACTGAAGTGTGTGCTGCTTCCTGTCATTGTATTTACATTTACACAGGTCAGAGTTTGGCTTTGCTCAGCAACCACAAACTCCATTTGTAATAAAGGCTTGCATCATAACTTAAGGACGCTTTCGCAAAACTTACAAAGATCATTCCATTTGAATCCTTAAAGAGGCGTTTTAGAGTGATATGTGGCAGCGGCATTGTCATTTTATTCAGATATTAATGAATATCAGTAAGAAAATTAGTCACAAAGTCAGAGTACAGTGTATGCAGCTCTGTGTATTTATGAGTGTGGTTTGAGCCTTGTAAGGAAGTTTTCATCCCAGAACAGCTAAAATCAGTGCATTTCTAAGGTATGGGGAGGCAGTCAGGATTCTCGACTTTGGAGAGCAATATTGGTTAGGGAGTTAGCTTAAAAGAATCTACTCCTTCCCCTGCTGATAATTCAGTAGAGAATACTCTCTCACTAACAATGGATCGAGAGATGAGTTTATGTAATGATAGCTATTTCTTATCTAAAAATAAATTTAAAATATATCATTTCAATTCATACGTATATATATGCACTCTTCCTTCTATTCACTCATATAAAAACTACTATCATAAGATCAAAGCTGTAGATCATAAAAGACCTCCCATAGCAAAATTCAAATTTCTTTTTAAAGTTATAAGCAGAATTTATCTTCCATTATCGGTGAGCACCTGGCTTTTTTCGCCACCTGAATAAATTTTGGAAAAAGAATTCTTTCACTTAAATATATTTATTAGATTTTCTGGACTGCCATCTTCGTGCAAAGCTAGTGATATATAACAAATTCCTCTTAAATACAAACACTGCCCTTTCAACATGAATATTCTAAATGTTGTCTCTAAATAGTCTAACTGTATTTCAAGAAATACATGAGATCCACATAGTCTTTCTCAATCAGATCTTCATCCAGTTCATTTCCGCAGCCTAATCAGCATCAAATATGGGGAAGTACCTTCAGTCTTCAAGTCACTGTAGAGGAGACAATGTAGTTATCAAAATGGAACATGTTAAACTCTGTGATACAATGACTGGACCATCATCGTAACAACTATACGACCCAATCTGAACTAACCGCTTTGATCTGACAGTTGACCATGAATGGGTCCATTCTAATCAATTCTCCTATGAGTACTACATGGTAGAAGTACATTATAAGCAAATTTAACGCAGGAAAATTAATAGGACAAGTGTGAGAAAGAGCAAGGGGAAAGCCTGACAGTCAGAGCCTGTGACTGCCTTTTCCCTCAATAGAGATCTGTACCGGAGTAAACTGGAGAGGAGAAAATGCAATGCAACTGTTCCCCAAGGATGTTCCAGTTGTCCAGGTTTCTTGAAGCTGGAACTTTTTTCCTCCCTGTGTGATTCTAGCATTAAAAACTTATCCATGTGTGTACATATGTATGCATACCTATGCCTGGGTATGTACACATACAAAGATATGTGTTTATCTTGCTGTCTAACAGTACAGCTGCCCATCTCAAGCAAACGACTTCTTCTGGTGTTTAACTCAAAAAATATCTGTTTCAATGCTTGAGAAAAAAATCTTGCTTGTTTATATTTACATAGAACTCTATACCTTGGGTGATTTAATAGGTTTATTAAGACTAGATTTGAAGTGTACATACTTTTATTTTTTTGCCTTGCTGGCTGCATTTGTACTCCAATCTTTCCCTAAAGTTATAATTCTGCATTACATTGGTGAATCCAGGTTTATCTAACCATATTTCCATGTTGACATCCTTCAAGCAGGCAGTGGGCCATACTTCTTTTAGCACAAAGGAGGGCTATTTTTATACTCTTAACATTGGAATTTCTACCAGAAATCAAATAACAAAAAGGATATTCAGATAAATTTCAGTATTTCAATAGGCAATTAACATAACAACTCTTCCCAAGTTATAGGAAGAAAAGTCTTTAAAAAGCAGTAAACCTTTAAGCCATGCATGATGGTGTACACCTGTAATACCAGGAGGCTGAGGCAAGAGGATTGCAAGTTCTAGATCAGTGTTGGCAAATTAGCAATATCCTGTCTCAAATTTAAAAAGGAAAAAGGTTGAAGGTGTGAAGCTCAGTGGTAGAGAGCTTGTCTAGCACATGCAAAGCCCAGGTTCGATCCCCAGTAACACACACACACACACACACACTAAAGTTTTAAGTATTAGCTGCAGATTTAAAAACTGGCCAAAGAAATCATTCTCACTAATCCACTCCCTACATACAGCCAGATTTGCAGCACTGAGAACTAGAATAGCTCCAGTACAGCTGAGCACAGTCCTTACTCCTTTGTGCCTTTGCTCCACTCTGACTTTATTCTCTCTAGGCTGAAATGTGCCAAGCCAGCCACGATGCTTCACTAGCCACTGGGAAAGGTCTCTGCATGGAAGGAAGCAGAACATTGACCATTCTCTCTTTCCTTGTGGTCACGCTTGCCTTTCTATTCCAAAGCTTTCACTTCTCCCCACACCCACTGAAAGTGACTACATATCTCCCTGCTCTGAAATGGGGACATCCTTAGAAACCTCTGGAGGTTAATTTCTTTTCTGTTTTAGAAGTTGTGGCGATAGTGGCCAAAAAGTTGATAATTTGGAACCTGGAGGCTCAAAGATTTTAGAGGACTTCATCCATAGTGTTTTCATTTCTAGTCTCTAATTACACACATCATTAGCAAAGTGAGACATTGTTTCAGGGAGTGTAAAGAGAGATGAATTTGTCTGAATTCCTAGACTGATGTTAATCACAGTGAGTCTGATTTTCCACCTCAGGCGCTCTGCAGAAGAAAGTTTCAGAAAATGAGATTCTGCCCTTGAGGGACCAGACTGGGAAATTTTAAAGCTGCTAGAACAGGAAGTTTTTAATCACTTTTAAATGATACATGTAATTACCGGCTATGTTTTCTTTTAAGTGATAATTTCCCAGAGTTTATGGAAATGAGATTTGAGTCCAGATTCAGATTCAGCCAATGAGAAGAAAAATTAAACATTCAAACCTGATGTAGATGGTTTTACCCATTGCTTTCATGAGTCACTGTTATTGTTAGAAATCATCCATTACTAGGTTGGCATTAAAGATACTTATTCTTAGCAATGTAGAAAATAAAAAGATAAAAAAGGAACTAGTCCTACTCCTGACCTGGTAATATTTACAATCTACCAGATTTAACAGATGTCATGAAAATTTCAGTAAACACTAACAATTCATGAATAAAATGTCCATCAACAGCACAAAAATTATGAACAGAAGGAAAATATAGGAAATGACCTATTATATTTGAAGAAGGAGTGATGTTGAAGTTTGGCTTGTTTTAGGGCAAACAAGAGGGGGAAAAGTATCTCATATTTTTCATTGATTTATTCAGTAAATATTGATTTGTTAGGCTTCACCGATTGAGGGATGAATAACATTCATACAGTTTAGAATTAAAACTAGTAGAGACAAAGCAAAGGGTTACATAAGCATTAATGAATTGGAGTCTTTCTCAAATGGACTGAATGTCAACATTGCTAAACAGAGATTGTAAAGTCGGCCTGAGAGAAGAAAGATCTTACCTTGTAGAGACAGCCTTAGATACTTTTGTCCTAGCAGTTTCAGACCAAAGTGCCACCTTGGTTTTCAGTTCTGTATTCTGAAATTGAAAAAAAAAGTGGGGGGCAGCAGTCAGAAGACATCTGATAGCTAACCTACTCATTAGGTATAGCCTTAATGTTTTGCTCAATTCACCACCTGCCTCACTCCTTGGAAGAATGTTTATGAAGACCTCCACTGCGCTGAGGCTCTGAGCCACGAGGACCAGTGAGAAGTGGAGCTGGATCCACCTGGATCCACACTGCAGAGGCACAGGGTTATAAAGGCCATTGTCCTGAGCTCCAGAAGATAGAGCAGAATAACAGAAAGAGACAGACATGAGCAACAGAAAGAGGGCCTCTCTTAGGCTCCTTGATGAAAATTGAAGCCCACTGGAAAAGTGAAGAGAATCTCTGCAAAAAAAATGCACAACAGACCACTGTGGTTGGTAAGTTGGAAGGATCACCACCTCCCACTGGAACCTGGACTTGTCCTCAGGGGAAGGGCAGCTGTAACCTGCAGTAAAAACTTTCAGAGTTCAACAGTGCCGGAGGTCTGGGAACTCAACTTGAGCCCTGCAGCCAGAAATCAGCCTGAATCTCAGGGGTCTGCTGCTGGCTTGATGAGACTAATTCACTTAGATCTGCGCACTGCTGCCCACATTTTCTATTGTGACAGCAGAGACATACCCTAAGGAGGCCCTTCATTTTTTTAATTACTTTTTTCTTTTCCTCTTATTTTTAAATTTTATTTTTTCACACTCTTCAATTCTTCCTTTTTTCTTTTTCTTTTTCCCACTCAATCTCTTACTCTCCCACATTGTTCTTCATCTCCCTTTGTGTTCCTGTTCCTGCCCTAATTCAGATTTCTTCTTTGTTTTTCTTTTCTTTTTCCTTCTCTTGATTGTCATTAGTTTCAAAGGAAAGTGAGCACAATTTTTAGCTTCCCTATTGCTGTTAAGTTGTTCTATTCTTGTCCTTGTTCTTTCACTCTGCCTTTTCCTCTTATCTTCAAAAGTTTCCTAGAGATTGCATGATTTTCCTGTGACCTCTGGGCTCACTTATAACCTTCCCCTAACCTGCTACCTATTTATCCCTCTCTCCCCAACTCCTTGTAAGTCCCCATCCTGAAGGGTAAAGTAGCTAGGCTGAAGAGTTTACTCACTACAAACATATTTTGGGTTGGACCTCTATTTTGATTTAATTCACATGGTTAAAGGTGATAGATTAATAACTACCACAAACTGTCATTTTTCTAACCTGTGCTTCATATTATTGTGTTGGTGATTGCATCACTTGGACTAAGGTGTTGTGATTGATCTAATCAGTTGTCCTTCCTGGTATTATGGAAACAAAAGTGTCTCAGTCATTAGAGACTGAAAACCTAAAGACCAGCTATATCTGGAACATTGAAGTATTAACCCAAGAATTAAACCAAGGACAGAACAAACAACAAAAATAGAAATAAGAAGACATTTCAGCAAGGTACAAACACAGACTTCCAGCAAACTAAAGGGAAATTTGGGGGGAAAGGAGGTAGAAAAGTCTGACAATCAACCACCTGTACACCCTGAACTGATAGCACAGGAAGTAACAAACCAGACGAACGAGGCTCCAGAAAAATTCAAAGCAGAAATAATTTCCCAGATAACTACAGAGATGGTGAGCAGAATGAAAGACATTATTAGAGACTCTAGGACAGAAACAGAAAAAAAAATAGATTAGTCAGGACCATGATAGAAGCCATGAATACCCAGGATAGGAAAATGGAATCCATGAAACAGATTCAAGCAAATATCCAGGAGATAAAAACAACTCTATTGAAAGTGTACACAACAGGCTGAAACAATCTGAAAACAGATTATAAGACATAAAAGACAGAATGGCAGTCAGTGACCATGAAAAGAGAGATCTCTTAAAAATAGTAAGAGACTATGAGAAATCAATCCATAGGTCCCAAATTATGCAAAGAAGAATAATATAAGACTGATAGGAGTCCAAGAAAAGGCAGGAGAAAGTACAAATGACATTAAAAGCTATTCACAGGATTAATGACAGAAAACTTCCCAAACACACACAGCAAAAGAATTTGACATACAGATGAGTGAGGCATATAGGGATCCAACTAGCCATGATTAAAAAAAAAATCTATACCAAGGCATGCAATAATTATGATCCCAGAAACCCAACAGAAGAACAAAATACTACAAGGTGTTAGCGAAAAGAAAAAAATCACATGCAAAGGAAAGCCCATCAGAATCACAGCAGACTTTTCAACACAAACCCTTAGGTCAAGGAGAGCCTGGAGTGAGATATTTCAAGCCCTAAAAGAAAACAACCTCCAACCTAGACTGATGTATCCTGCAAAACTCTCTTTTAAAATGGATGGGGAAATAAGATACTTCCATGACAAAGAACACCTGAGAAACTTTATAAACACCAAACCAGCACTACAAACAATTCTAAACAATATCTTACGAAAAAAGACAATAAAGGTCATAACTCCACAAGGCTCAGTAGAACAAATCCATTATGTAAGGCAAGAAATTAAAGAGGGGGGAATTAAAAAGAGCTAACAACAGGACAATAGTATGACAATGATAAATCAATACCTGTCAGTTATAACCATTAATGTTAATGACCTCAATTCACCAATCAAAAGAAATAGGCTGGCAGAATAGATTAAGAAGCAAAATTGAACAATATGCTGTATAAAAGAGATGCACCTAGTTCAAAAAGAAATTCATAGACTAAATGTAAAAGGATGGAAAACAGTTCTCCACATGACAGGAACCTAGAAAAAAGCAGAGGTAGTTATCTTATTTGCAGACAAAGTAAATTTCAGACCAAAACTAGTTAAGAAAGACAAACAAGGTCACTACATCCTTGTAAAGGGGACAACCCAAGAGGAAGAAATGACAATCATAAACATGTATGCACCAAATACTAATGCCCCCAACTACGTAAAACAAATACTAAGGGACATGAAAAATCAAATAAACACTAATACAGTTGTAATGAGGGACCTCAATGCCCCATTGTCACAAATAGACAGATCATTTAGACAAAAAATCAAAAACAAATACTAGAACCGACCCAGGCTTTTGAACAAATGGACTTAATAGACGTTCACAGATTGTTCCACCCCACAAAATCAGAATATATATTCTTTTTTGGCTGCACCTGGGTCATTCTCCAAGATAGACCACATACTAGCTCATAGAATGTGTTTAAGCAAATGCAAAGGAATCAAAGTTATTCCATGTATATTATCAGACCATAGTGCAATTAAACTGGAGATCAATAGCATAAAAAACTGCAAGAGCTTCAAAAACATGGAAATTGAACAGCACTCTCCTGAACAACCAATGGATCATAGAGGAAATTGAAGAAGAAATTAGGTAGTTTTTAAAAATAAATGATAATGCCAGTACAACATACAAGAATCTATGGGACACAATGAAAGTAGTTCTATGATGTAATTCATAGAAGTGGATGCCCATACTAGGAAAACAGAGCAAGCTCAAATAAACAACCTAATGCTAAATCTTAAGCTCCTATAAAAAGAAAAGTAAGACAAACCCAAAATTTATACAAGGGAGGAAATTTAAAAGATCAGAGCAAAAATCAATGCAATTGAGACTATTTATACCCAAAATTTATACAAGGGAGGAAATTTAAAAGATCAGAGCAAAAATCAATGCAATTGAGACTAAATGAAAAATACAAAAAAAAAAAATCAATGAACTGAAGAGTTGGTTTTTCGAAAGAATAAGTAAAATTGATAAACTTTTAGCCAACCTTATAAAAATAAATGGAAATCCATGCAATTAGGAATGAAAAAGGTGAAGTCACAGCAGACCAGCAGAAATCTAGAGGATCATCAATACCTACGACAGATTTCCAGATACATATGAATTACCAAAGTTGAATGAAGAAGATAAAAAAATTCTAAACACCCCAATTGCATTCAGTGATATTGAAAACATAATTAAAAATTTACCAACAAAGAAAAACCCAGGTCCTGATGGCTTCGATGCTGAATTCTACAAAACACTTAGAGAAGAGCTATTTTCACTACTCTTTAAACTTTTCAGTGAAAATGAAAGGGAAGCAATACTTCCAAATTCATTCCTAGAAGCAAGTGTTACTTTGATTCCAACACTAGGGAAAGACTCAACCACAAAAGAGAACTACAGGCCAATCTCCCTAATGAACATATATGTCAAAATCCTCAATAAGACACCGGAAACAGAATACAGAGGGTCATCAAGAAGATCATACTCTCTGACCAAGTCAGATTTATTCCAGGGATGCAAGGATGGTTCAACATATGTAAACAAATAAATGTAATACATTATATTAACAGAGTCAAGGACAAAAACTATATGATCATCTCAATAAATGCACAAAAAGCATTCAACAAAATTCAACACCCATTCATGATAAAAGCTCTCAAGAAAATTGGAATAGATGGTCTTTATCTCAACATCATAAAGGCTATCTATGAAAAACTAACATCCAACATCATACAAAATTGTCAGAAAGGAAAACCTTCACATTAAAATCAGGAATAAGACAGGGAAGCAAAAAATGTCTACACTGAAAAGTACACCACTCTGAAAAAGGAATACGAGGATATAATAAAATGGAAATCTCTTGCTCTTGGGTAGGAAGAACCAATAAAATGAAAATGGTCATATTTCCAAAATTGTTATACAGATTCAATGCAATCCCAATTGCAATATCAACAGTATATTTCACAGATCTAGAGAAAACAAGCCAAAAATTTAGTTGAAACCAGAAAAGACCAAGAATAGAAAAAGCAATTCTGGAAAACAGAGACATGACGGGGGTATCAATCCCCAACTTGAAACTATAGTACAAAGCCACTGTGATAAAGACAGCATGGTACTAGCAAAGAAACAGATCCAAGGAGCAGTAGAATAGATTAGAAGATTCAGAAACAACTCCAGAAATACTCAGCTACCTTGTCTTTCACAAAGAAGCCAACCATCCTCAGAGGAGGAAGACAGCCTTTTCAATAAATTCTGTAGGAAAA